GAGTGGTCGGCTGCAGAGGAAGTGGCTGGTGGGTGGTGCCCAGACCAGCTGACCGTGGCACTGAGCTTGCTGTTGGCCTGGTATCAGTCAGGAGTCCAGGTGGGCGGGTGCCAGGGGCCAGCCCCAACCCACAGCCACATGACCCGGCTGAGTCAGCCCAAGAGAACACTGAGGTGTGGCCCTCACTGTCCTCCGAGCAGGGCGAGCCACTTCCTGCCCCTCTCCCCAGGGCTCAGCCACTCCACTGCCATGTCTTGGAAATGCCTGTGGGAAGGCCCCAGCTCCCGCCCCCTCCCTCTGGGAGCCTGTCCCCTGCCTTCCTCCCTGTCTGTGCCCTCGGCCATCTCCACAGTGCAGTGGGGACCCGGGCATGGCTTGAACTACGACACCTCAGGCTGCTCTTTTCTCGTCTTGGGGCCTCGGCTTCTCCGTTTTTGAAAAGGGATGATGATGAGATCTGCGCCCCTCCTGCCCCCCAGTGTCATAAGAATCACAGCAGTTGGGGGAGACCGTCCAGAAGGGCCCAGGAGCTTTGAGGGGCCGGCGGCACAGCAGAGTGGCCGGGAAAGCCCCGGGCCGACAGTCCCAAATGCCGGTCTGGACTCACTGGGTGGCCCCGCACGCTGAAACGCACAGCGGGCGTTCTGAGGGGCCGCCGCTCCCGGGGGGCCCTGCTCACGCTGCCGGACCTGAGCCCCACGTGGTCGGTCCAGCACGCTTCTGGCCCCTCGCGCTGGTGTCTGCTCTGGGGAGGTGGTTGCTTGTTCCTGGGCTGCGGCCTAGAGGTGGCCTCTGTCAGGCGGCCTCCATGGCTGGCTCTGGCAACCCGGGAGGTTTCCTCGTTCTTATGGTCACCAGCCTTGGGGCCTGAGCATGTACCAGAATGCAAATACGTGGTATCGACCTGGTGGGCGCTGTCCTTTAACTGATGGCTGCCGTCCTTCCCCGGCCCATGCTGACTGTCCATGCAGTGCATGGGGTACTGCATGGACAAGACGGGGTACAAACACGGGTGGGCTTGTGTTGCCTCGTCCCTGAGCTTATCTGTGATTTGGGAGCAGTTTTTCCCTGAATCCGTTAGAAGCTTGATTCAGGCAGAGGTGGGGGTGCGGGCACGTGGGTCGTGGCCGCTGGACCGCAAGTGCCTGCTTCTGCTCCCACCAATTACAGAGCCGTGGCAGCCTGAGCTGCATGTGCCCTGACCGGAAACCCCTGCCCGCTTCCCTCCAGCACAGCGGGGCGCTGGGTCCCTGTGGGCACCGGGCGCGGGCTCACCCTCTGACGTGCCCTCGCCCCCACCCCCAGAGCAAACCCCCACGTACAAATAGGGACTCAGAGTCATGCAAGGCTAGCGGAGGCCACGCGGGCGTTAGAGGCAGGGCTGGACACCGTGCTCGCCCCCCCACCCCCCGCCCCGCGGTCCCCAGGCCTCTACAAGATGACCTGGAGGACTGTGGTCAGAGCAGGCCTCCACGGAGTCCGCCATCCTGCTGGGTCCCCTCACAGGGCCTCAGCCCTCCCCACGAGACTGAGGCTTGGCGAGGCCTGGCCCCGGACAACCAGCCGTGTGTCCGCCCGTGCAGCCCTGATAAGGCACAATGACCTTTCTTTACAAGGATCCCATTATTCTGGACCGAAGGTGGGCGTCTGGATGGTGGGGGAGGGGACAGCTCCAAAGGCAGCCTCCCGTGGGGCCGGAGGCGGGGCAGAGTGCTGCCCGGGGTGAGGCTTGGTGGGCTTGGTGACCACTCTCCAGGCCTTGCTGTCGGCCAGTCTGCCTTGGCACCAGATCAGAGAGCTTGTCACCTACCAGGTGCCCAAACAAGTGCTCTAACTCAGGGACTCATGGCTGGCCCTGTTGGGGGCAGAGCCTGACCTGCTGTGGGCCAGCACCACATGGACCCAGCACCCACCGATGCCCCATGAGGAGCCTGCTCATCTCACGCTGGGACAAGGGCCCAAGCTGGGGTCAGAGCTGACTCCTCCTATGCTGTCCCCCTGTGCCACTCCCCGGGTGGCCCACGAACCTCAGTCCCAGGTTGCTGCTGGCTCAGCCGGGGTCTGTTTCGCCATCCATCCTCCCTCCCTCTGCGCACGGATGGGCTTCTGCTGTGGCCGCAGCCTCTGGCTTTCGCCAGTGGAGCAGGGGGCCTCTGTGCCGCCTCAGGGCCTCCCAGCTTGCAGGGTCTGCAGACCTCCGGGCGCCCGACCTCTCACCTCTTGCCAGTGCCTAGAGAGACAGGGCAGGGCCTCAGTCCTCAGCGAACCAGGCACTCTGATCCTCACTGTGCCTGGTGTCGGGGTGGCAGGTGGCCGAATGAGCCTCACCAGGGTTACACAGGAAATCGGCCCCCCAGCCACCCCTGGCCACCCCTGAAGATGACCCCCTGACCCGCAGACAAGGAAGAAGGAAGCCCCGCCACCTGCTCCGCCGCCTGCGTGCACCCCAGGGGCTGCCGGGGCTAAGGAGCCTGGGGCCAATGCCACTCGTGCCTGCTGCATGTCCCTGCTCCCCGTGCTGTGAGATGCAGTGGACAGACGGACACGTGCCCCTTTCCTAGAACTTGTATCCTGGGGGGGGATGGGAGTTACAGAATGAATGAATGCGTGAGCGAGCGCTGCGGGAACTTCCGGGGTTGTGTGGGGAATTTGCATTGTGTGAGACAAGGAGTGGCAACCCCCTGGGAAGTGACATTTGAGCTCAGTGTGGAATTCCAGGGGGACTCAGCCACTGAGAGGTGTGGGCCAGGGCATTGGTGTGGGGGTAGGGAAATCAGGCTGCTCAGCTGATTGGCTAGAAAGAGTCATGGGGGGAGGCGGGGTGGGAAGGAAGGAGAGAGGGAAGGGAGGTTGGATGGAAAAACGGTGGATAAATGGGAGATAGGCAAATGGATGGATGATGGATGGGTGATGGATGGATGATGGATGAGTGGATGGATGATGGATGGGTGGATGATGGGTGGATGGATGGATGGATGATGAGCGGGTGGATGAATGGATGATGGGTGGATGGATGGATGGATGATGAATGGGTGGATGGATGGATGATGGATGGATGGATGGATGGATGATGGGTGGATGGATGGATGGATGGATGGATGGATGATGGGTGGATGGATGGATGGGTGATGGTTGGGTGGTTTGGGGGATGGGTGGGTG